AGCGCCATAAAAACACAAAAATTTGAAATTTTTGCAGATTCCTGGGACCCCGCGCGACGACATCTTCGACCGCATCCTGACCGAGCTCGAGTATTCCGGGACCGATGAGGAAGAGGGCACAACCCCACCACACGAACTCGGGCACTCTTTCGGCCCCGAGAAGGAGGAGCAGGAACAGGAGGTGCGTTTGTTGGACTGTGTATAACCCTTACCTCTTCACAATGTATATTCAAACTTTTTAGTGCTCTTTAGGATCCCGAGGGGTGAACAAACTTCTTTACCGCCCCAGCCTAAATTCTTTTATAATTAGCGGATGCGTTTCTAAATCATTTTGAGCTTTTCCTGAGCATAGAAACTTTACAAACTCTCAATTAAAATTTTAATTTTCGGTTGAAAAATTGATTTTTTTTGAGATTTTTTTGTTGCAAGTTTTTCATTTTAAATATGGTGAAAACGTAAAAACAATGGCAAAACGTTATAATTGATAGCTGGGCCAAACTGGCGGTCAAAATAAAAAAACTGGTTCAGCCCTCGGGAATCCTAAAAAACCGGTTTTAGTAAGGCATCCTTTAAAGCGCCATAAAAATACCAAAATTTGGCATTTTTCCAGATTCCTGAGGTCCCACGCGACAACTACATCTTCGAGCGCAATCTGGCCGAGCCCGAGCAACCAGGGCCAAATGATGATGCGCCGGATGACGCTGACCCGGCCCTACCGCAGGAAGTCGATCAACGGGTCGGCGCCGAGATGGCCGATGAGCAAGTGGTGCGTTTGTTGGGCGGTGTATGACCCTTAGCTCTTCACAATCTACTTTGATATGTTTGTAGGGTCCTAAGGATTCCGAGGCGGGGAGGGGGGCGACAAACTTTTTTACCACCCAAGCCCAAACTTTTTTATAACCAGCCGATACTTTCTTGCAACGTTTTGAGCTTCTACAAAGCACAGGAACCTTACAAATTTTCAATTAAAATTTTAATTTTCGGTTGAAAAATTGATTTTTTCGACCCGAAATGACCAAATCTTCGACTCTTTCGACTTCAAGATTTAGTTAAAACATACTAAAAACAATGTAACCACCCTTTATTCATGGCTGTGCCAAACAGGCGGTCAAATTAAAAAATCCTCCAACCTCCGGGAGTCCTAAAGAACCGTTTTTAGTAAGGCATCCTTTTTAAAGCGTCCAAATTTGCAATTTTTTTGTCATTTCATCCCAACAAACAAACGAACAACTCACCCGAAACATCTTTTCATCGTCACCGGTTTAATAACTCCGTTGCAGCCGCAGCATCCGGAGATCCAGGGCGTCAACGTCGCCAACATCGTTGAGGCCCACCATCAACAAGATGATCCCGCTGTGCCTGATGAAACCGGCTCCGAGGAGAAAAAAGTTGTGCACCAAGTGCGTTTGTAGGACTGTGTACAGGGACGTAGCGTAAGGTGGGCCCCCTGGGCCCGCCCCTTCCCCCCTGGGCCCTTTCACGTTTTTACTGCTATCTGTAGCGCTATATAGCCTTTTTTCCAAAATTTTTCGACTGCAGCGCTGTTTTCTCGTTAATTTTTGAGTCTTTCGAAAAAAATTTTCGGCCCCCCCCCCGAAGTTTTTTCTGGCTACGCCCCTGACTGCGTATAACCATGAGCTCTTTACAATGTATTTTCATATATTTTTCGGGTTCTTTAGGCTTCCGGGGGGGACAAACCTTTTTTTCTACCCCTGCCAAAACTAATTTATAACTAGCGGATGGGTTTCTACATCGTTATTAACTATTCATAAGCATGAAAACTTTATTGATACTTACTACTACGTTACTAGGCACTTCTGACTCATGCTGGCAAAAGGAAATCACCCATCAATTTAGGATTGTGAATGCGGTCGTCCTGGGCCGTCGAACCGCGACCTCGGCCCACTGGCGTGCAAGCACTGCCGAAGGGCATTCCGGTCAGTAATCTCTGCTGTACTATTCAAGTGGGGGGGGTTAGGAATTTTTCGTCGGTGCCTAGACTTAGTTTCGGTGAGTATTTGCTTAGCTTAGGATGGCTATTAGGCTATTAGCTTAGGATGATTAGCTTAGGATTGGTTTAGTATCGGCTTAGCTTAGGCGTAGATAGATGAAAATTGGCTTAGCTTAGGCTCAACTTAGCTCGGTATTGACTGCGCTTCGGCTTTGGTTTGGCTTAGTATTGGTTTAGCTTAATCTCAGGGGTAAGCTTAGGATTGGTTTAGCATCGGCTTAGCTTGGGATTATCCGTAGCTTAGGCCTAGAAATGGCTTAGCATGGGCTTGTCCCTAGCTTAGGCTTAGCGTTGCTTATTATTGGCGCTGCCTAGACCTGGCTTAGGATTGGCTTAGCCCGGGATTAAGCTTAGCTGATTGGTGGGTGAAGAGGAGATGGAGCTACTTCTTTGGCTTAGCGCTTCGTTAACGTTGCCATAGCTTCGCTCATTTCGGCTTCGGCTTCGGTTTTTTTACCGCCAAAAAATGTTTTGGCCATCCCCCCACTTGAATAGCACCATTTTTTGAGAAAGGAAACCCGCCCCAACGAACATGTGAAAAATGCCATTATTTCAGTGACGCTGTGCGGGGTCTTCGTCGATCTACCAAAGGCCCGTGCCTGCGCAACTGCGACGAGCGCAGTGCGTTTCAAGATTGCGACACATCGGCGCTGAGGAAAACTCGGAAAATCGCTAGTTTTCTGGCCCTTTCCAAAGCTTTCGGACCATCTAAGAATCATCATTTTCTGACTTTTCTATGAACCGTTAGAGAGGAGGGGGTTGCTCTTTTCGTAATGGACTGTTAACAGGGGGAGGGGGGGGAGGTGACGGGAACTAACCTTTCTTTTTCTGGCTATAAAACCTGTTAATAAGTGAATATTTTTACGATGTTTGTCGTAAAGTTGTTAATAAGCGGAGTATTTTTACGATGTTTATCGAAGATTTTGATTGCCAGAAAGTTGCAAAATTTCTTTCACACCTTTAGAAATCCGAAATGCAGGCCTTTTTTCATGGATTTTTCACAAAAAGTAAACAATTGTATGTTTTTATGAGCTACTAAATCAGTGCAAATCGTTTGCAAAATTTTTCCTGGCCGCTAATTCTAAGCCATCGTCGATTTTTTTCGAATACATCGTTTGCCGCAGACAATCCTTCTATTTCAGACAACTGCTCTATGCACACCGTGGAACGTCTGGAGGCCAGGGGCTTCAAGAGGGAACTCGTGTCGTGAGACTTCAACAAAAAAAAAGATATTAGTTGTGGTGCTTAATTACTGACCTTTCGCATGATATTCTTTTGTGTATCAAGTCCAATTCCGCCCAAGTCATGTGTGATTATGCCATTCTTTGAAGTCCGTTTACTACTCGATTGTCGTTAATAAAGGGCCATTTTTTCTTTCTTTAATTCAAATCTTTTATATAAAAAAAAAAATCCCCACGAGGGACCACCCAAGGTGACGTTTCGAAATCCGACATAGACTATCATGATCAGAATCTTAATATTATGTAAGCTATCCCTAGCCTACCATCGGTTGACCACCTTCATTGACTTAAATTACGCCCCAGCGCACGAAAAAATGCTTTTCGGTGAATGAAACTTTTGGCTCAGCAATCATTCTAGTTTTTCATTAAAAACCATGGTTGAAAAGCCGCTTCGCGACTTTTCAACCCTGGCCCCGTCTGATCCCATGATATTCTTCACTTTGCATATTTCTCGCGGTTTTCGATGACACAAAAATGAGAAACGATCGCTCTTTCCCTTATATAGGTACTTCCGGCATATGCTAATTGTTTCCTAACAAAGAGGGTTCTCGATTTTTCAACAAAAACGTAATCTTAACATTGAAAACCGCTAATTTTTGAAAATTTTATGAGTGTGCAGTCATCCCTAGGCCATTACGCACCTAACGTTTAATACGTAGCCTAATACCCTTCCCTTCTTGAGATGCTACTGGAGCACGCTGACGGAAGTTGCATGCATAGCGGGACACGCACACAGACACTATTTTTTTTATATATAGGTAGGAGCTATCTCTCTAGCTCTCTCGCTCCTCTACCTCTCTATCTATCTCTCTATCTCTCTCGCGCGCTCTCTCACCCACTTGCCCCATATATCACTCTCTCGCTCTTCGTGATTTGATTACGTTTTATTGAAACCAGGTTCATTGTTTAGCTCATGAACGTCGATTTTGTGCTCCTCGTTACGGGTGATTTTACGCGCGGCTGGACCAGTATTACCTAAAAATTGGTCTGCAAAGATTGCGGTTCGGTACCCGTCCTATTGTCGTTTGTTGTAGCCGTCTGTACACCCCAAAATCACAGCTGCACAATCGGCCTTCACCCAGAAAAGCGATGGTGACAATTCTGAAAACGAGAGATTGAATCAAAGAATGAGCCGCGAGAGTGGAGAGAGAGAGAGAGAGAGAGAGACAGAGTGAGAGAGAGGCAGAGAGGGAGAGTGAGACGGTGAGAGGGAGTGAGAAAGTGAGGACAGCGAGAGTGAGAAAGTGTGAGAGTGAGAGAGCGAGAGAGGGTGAAAGAGAGTGAGAGAAAGTGAGAGAGATAGGACAGGGAGAGAGCGAGCGAGAGAGCGAGAGAGTGGGAGAGATAGAAAGAGCGGGAGAAAGTGAGAGAGAGAGAGAGAAAGAGAGAGAGAGACAAACCCCGATACAGCGTTTCCCCATGCAGGTAGGCATGTCGTGACAATCGTCAGAAACCAACTCGTCTGCAGCACCTCCGAGTTATACGCGGAGGCCTTTTGAAGTTGTGCCGTCCTATCCTAAAGAATAGCCACTTTTTGGTGCTTTTGGAATTTGGGGCAACGACATAGCGCATTTGATGGAACTTGACATTTGGCACATTCGAAAGTTCAAGACGACGAATTTTCAGAATGTCGAAAACCATAATGTCGAAATTCACTTAAGCCAATTTTCCCAAAAAAACCCAAACCCTATCCAAAAATTTTTCAGCATTCTGATTTTCGAAATTATGCTATTTCGACATAATGACTATCGACAGCATAATAGCCAATCATGGACACGTACTGGTGGGTCCGGTGCAAAAACGTCGGTGGTCGCGGGAGGCATATTTTGGAACAGGAACGCAACGTAGAAGTTGACCGCGGTCACCGCTAAAGAGTACGTGTGGTTGACGATCATCTGAAAGATGAGAAGCTGCCGATCCTTTTATCTATCCTGCTTTACCTGCTTGGCCAGCTTCTGATCGGCCCGGCTCTGACTTTGGTTCATGCCGGAGATGTCGCGGTTTCTTTTCTAGAAAAAACTTTGAAGCGCGTGAGCTACTTAAGATTCTAGCGGGAACAAGCCGACCCACCAGATGACGCCGAATCAGGAAAAATGTGATGATGTCCGAGAGCAGGACGCCCAACGTCAACCCATTCGCCACCATCCGCAGCTTGAACATCGCGTCACGCATCTTGCTCGCATCCGGTTCGTTGCTGACCAAGGCATAGCTGTGCGACTCGAAGTATAGGTGCCCGTCTACTAAAAAGAATCTATTATATACTAAAACCGATTCGCTATAAATTGAAACCTCTGTATTTTGCCTTACATACAGACAGATGTTTGGGGTTATGGTTCTCGAAAAGAGCCACGTAATGAGCAATACCAAATGTGGTTTAAATTAATTAGATAGCACTGAAAACTCATGCTCATCCCCATTGCACTTGACGCTCCTGACTTACATGTCAGCCAATAGACTGCTGAGACCGGCACCGTCCAAACAGCCAACAGCTGATGCAGCTTTGACTTGGCCATCAGGTCTGAGAATCTTCCTGAACACAAATTTAGCTAAACAATTAAACAAATCAGAAAAAAAAAATTGAAGAAAAAACCTTCAAACGCCAGCGCAGCTAGCCGATTCAGCGACAACCCAAGTTGGATCATTTCGATGGCATGTTGAAGGAAATAGAAATCGATTGCTGCAAGGATAATGGTAACTAACTTTCTCTACCACTAACCGATTTCGACGACCTCAGCGTACTGCTACGGAAAACTCGATAAATATGACCGCATGGTAATGGCGTGTCGCTTAGGAAAATTATCGTGATGAACCTAAAGCGATCAAATTTAATTGACCTTCTGGCCTCAAACTACAGCCGGCAACTGACCCCGAGATTGCATTCCCCCAGGCTGGCAAGCATGTGGTGACGATGGTGAGAAACCAACTTGTTTGTAACAATTCGGAGGTGTACCTCCCTTCGGCGGCTTGTCGTTCCTGGAAACGGGCATGGAAGGTCGAAGCAAAGAAGCTTCTAAGATTTTGAATTTAGAATTTCATGTCGAACTCTGGGTTCTGGACATACAAGTGTGTCTCAATAAAAACCCCTCTAACAGTCCGTAGTCATGTGCGATTTTTACGGTATAGCTATCAACCGAAAGCTCGCGGCGAGCCGAATATTTTGACCTTTGAAGTTCCGATATATATATTTTTAAATCCATTAAGTTTTTGGAAGGACGGACTTTTTGTCGCTTTTCTTAAGCACAGAGTTTTGACCAAAAAGCCGATTTTGCAAAATTTTACGCCTTTCCTGGCAGCTCGAGCGCAGACTTCTTAAAACTTCTCAAAGCCATTTGAGAAAACATCGCTTGGCTGCGGCGGAATTCGATTTCATGGGTTTTTGGAAAACAATGTGTAGGTTTTGCATAAACAACGATGAAAACCGGGCAAATCCACATCGCTACTGTGCCCATCCAGGCAACTCACAAAATCCTCCTCCGTCATATGCTCGATGTACAGCGAGTCGATCTGTCCTTGGAATAGGAAGGCGACATAGAAGTTGACGGCTGTGACGGCCAGCGAATAGGTGTGGTTAACGATCATCTGAAATTTGCGTCAAACAGGATGCGTAGAAGTGTTTCGAAATTTTTTCCACCGAGTTTACCTGCTTGGCCAGCTTATGATCGGCACGACTTTTGCCGGGGTCATGCCTTGAGGTGGCGAGATTTTTCTTCTGAAACTTGTTGTTATGAATTTTAGATTATAAAATCGGGTTTAAGCAAAAATTTTTAACCTAAAATGGTTATTAAAAAGCTGCTAATGACTAACGCACCAGATGCTGTCGTATCAAGAAAAACGTCATGACATCGGAAAATAGGGCGCCCAACGTGAGGCAATTTGCTAACATGCGAAGCTTAAACATCATGTCCCGGAGGATGTTTGCTCCATATTCTGATGTGATCAGGGCGTAGCTGTGAGCCTCGAAGAACACGATCAATTCCACTGGAAATCTATAGTTGCCTCCCTAAATCAAAGCAACTGACTCGTCATATAATAAATGGCGGTGACTGGTATCGTCCACACCGCCAATAGCTGATGCAGCTTCGTGGAGCTCACCAACTCTGAGTAGCGTCCTGAAATTTTAGGTTTTCCACAATGGAATAGATGTTCTCTCTCTCTCTCTATTTCTCTTGCTCTCTCTTTCTGTCTTTATCTCTTTCTGTCTCTCTCTCTCTCTTTCTCTCTTTCGCTCTCTTTCATTACCTTCAAAAGCCAGAGCCGCCAAACGATTAATCGAGACACCGAGTTGCACTATTTCGATAGCGTGCTGAGTACAAAGGAAAATGATACCTGAAGGTGCGGTAAAATACGTAATGGTGCTAAATTATATAAATTCATATTTTAAAATTGCCATGGCAATTTAAAATTTATTAGTGTTTCATAAATATGCTGTAAGCAACGCTACGATTCGCTTACCAAGCGCCAAGTTCAGCTGCGCTCCAAACTGGACCTGCGCTTCGCAGATACTACGGTGTTTCCGATAAATGTAATAGCCATATGGTTCCTGATCGCTCACGCGGGCATATCTGCAAGAGAAACTATCACAAAAAGGCTAGTATTACTGTTCCTAGATTTCGCTGTTTCTCTCTATCTCTCACGCTATCTCTCTCGTTCACTCACTCTCTCTTTCTCGCTCTGAAGTGTTTGGGAAGGGCTTTTAAAACCAACAAGTTTGGCTCGGCATCCGTCCTTATAAACGTGCATGCGCCCGGATAGAATAAGATGAGCGACTGGCCAATCCGTGCCAAATGTTCCATACAAAGATAGGTGGCCACGAGGAAGGAGAGGTGCTGATTCCGCTTCACAACTATCAACGCACCAATGTTGGAGAGGATTGAGATAAAGCCGAACTGGAATTTGGTCTTTTTAAACCTCTTAAGCGGTATTAAAAATGAGCTGGATCTTCGATCTCCAGCATTTATTTTAGTGCTTTTTAAGCTGTATTGACTGACCACAAACACGGAATAGAAGACGAACCAATCCCGGAATACCATGTCCTCGAAGAACACGTATTTTGTTACTTTCGCTTTGGCCATCAGTTCTAGAAAAAAAAACAATCAACCTTACAAATTCAGCTTCCGGCGTCTTAAAGACTTTTTCTAATAGAAAAACATATTATTTTAGCCAATGCTGCTATAAAAACAGAAAGGCCACAAATTTTCCACTTCAGCCCGCCAGATTGGCCTTTACGGCACCGAACAATTAGATTTTACGGGGGGTTGCTTGCGAGTGAAAGTCACTCTAAATTTTCGAGGTCATTGTAGTTTTAATTTCGGCACCAGTGCCTAAATTAATTTGTGCCTAAAATTAAAAGAAAACAGGGTCGATTAATCGATTCAGTCAATTTTTAATCAGTAATTTATTTACGCTATTAATTTTAAGTACCGCAAGTTTTTAGGCTTCTTTAAGTTCTTCTTTTTAACATTCAATTCAATTTTGAAAAGCGGGGAAAGTATCGTATCTTTGAAATTCGTACTTAGTCCTCGATTCCGTGACAATACTCCATCCCGTTCGCCACCACCCTTCGGATGGTCTCTGATTTTCGAACTTCCCTTCCAAAACATTACGACTTTTTACGAAGCGGAACTGTTTACAGATTTTCTCTATAAACAATGAAGCGGCTACTCCGAGGGGACCCAACGCATTTGTGTCTCCACCACCACCTGCCATGAAAAGTGTAATAATTCTGTGCCTGGCTACCGTAGCCCTGGCCTCATTTCCGGATCTGGCTGAAGTGTTGTCGGTTGATAAGAATGGGATGGTTGAGGTGGGTATTAAAGGGATGGGTAAGACATATTTATGGATTTTCGATTATGTCACACGAGTAACGCGCGATGCGTCACTTTACTTGTAATTATATAAATGTTAGTTTTTATGCTTTTACCGTTGTGATTTGACCTTACCAATAGTTATATAAGTAAAACCTTTCAGAGTTTTTATGCATGGTACCTTACTTCCATTGCGTGATGGTCTAACCAAGCGACAAAAACGCCAAATTTCGACGCATTGCGTGTCATGCTTGTGGCAAATTTTATCATGCAACTGCAGAATTTAAACTTCAATCAATCTTCAAAATTTGTTGTTGCTCCTAGACCGTTGCTTTTTTAGGAATCTTGGGATTAATTCCACTTTTCGTGATTTTCAGGTCGAAATTCCGCTCGGCCCGGCGACGGCAAGGAGGAGGCAGCCCTTTTCTGATTACTCGAAAAAAGATCAAGAAAGTATGTTTTTCAGGCACGGCATTCCATGGAGGCACGGATAGGACCCCCCAGGGCCGCGGCGCAATCGGTTAGCGCCGATCCCAAATCTCAAACAGAGGGTCCGGGTTCGACCCCCGGGACCAACGTGCAACCGCTATTTCTCCCCAAAACCTTTGCCAAGCTTTTGCGTTTTGTTTAAAAACTGTGCTCCAGTCATTGAAAACTGCTAAAACAATAAGGATCTGGAAAAATTAACCCGATCAAAAAGAGACGGTTGATCCACTGGCGTACATTTTCGCAAAACAGTCACTTGGAGCCATTTTAAGCGTCGATTGCACGCACTAGGGGGTAATCGACCTTGATTTTACCAAATCTAGGCTCAGATTTCAGCGACAATGCTTGGTTTCTGCGCTTTTTAAAACCGCACAAAATCCTGAACTGAACTTCAAAAGACCATCACAAAAAAGTACCAGAATAGATTTTCGATAGTTAGGTCTCAAAATCTGCGCCTTGGTGTCTAGAATATTTAAATCTAAATGAGTTTTTAATTTTTCTATTACATTTCGAGAAAAATACAGTTTTGTCCAAAAGTTTGTTCATTTTCGAACAAAAACGTAGCGAGCGCGCTGTCCCCTTGTGCAAGGGAGCCTGCCGTAGCCCAAAAGCTATCCGTGCCTGCCTGTTAAAGCCTGGAATGGCGTGCAGGGGTTCTATACATAGAATCGTAAAAGTAAGTCATAGTCATAGTAGTCAGTAGAAAATTTCTAACTTACTTAAGTACTTTAACAATCAAAAGCCGAGTTTTAGGGCTGATGAAGATTTGCGGTCATTCTGATGGGAAACCTTGCATTACGCCGCAATGCGTAAGTTTTTAGTTAGTAACTTTCTTTACATAATAGTCTATTAATGCCAGTTTTCATAAACCTAGTTTTACTTCAGGTGATCGTCCAAACCAAAGAGGTGCAGCGCGAAAAATGGGTCCCCGTACTGATTGGGGAAGCTTTCCCGAAACCCACGGATAGCCGTTCGTGTCGAGCTTCTCATAAAATGGCCACGCCTGAAAGGACGTGATTTGACGGTTTTACTCTAATAAACTTTTTGTATAATGGTTGAATGGAGCGCTTGGCTTCTCCCGATAAAAGTCGCTAACCCATCACGCAACGAAATAGCGGCGTACGCGTTGCGTGTCGCGGGTGCGGAAATCCCTTGAGAAATCCATAATTCGTCTTAATTTATGGCAATAGCTTCTGGCTTTTTTTCAAAGTGTCGAAAGTCTTAATGGGTTCATAATATCGGCATTTTTTGCATCGGGTTAGGGGATTTTTCCGGAAAATTCGTTTATGTGGATCTCGACCTACTGAAATTTCGACATTGTGAATTTCTACACCATGAAGTTCGACATTCTGAATTTCGTTATTACGAATTTCGACATGAGGAATTTTGACACTATTACTTTTGACATTGTGTTATAACAATTCATAACTTCCCAACCCCTTTAAAATGGTTTATCGGCCCTAGACCCTCGTGTTTTGGACGATCTGTCTCTCGCCTGGTCTCCAATTTCCGTAAATAGCCCACCAGCGAACGGTTTGCAGTTGCGAGCGAGGCTGAAACTTTGAAGTGGCCCAAGCGCTGCATAATGATCCCAGATCCCCGAAAATGGGAAGTGCTGCGATACGAGAGTTCGCGTCGGGGGCTGATCGTCAATATTTGCCCATTTCAAGCCCCGGGGGGAGGACAGCTAGACCTGATAAGATCGTTTGCGAATCCGGAGTCGCCCTTGGGGTCATTTGACGCCTCGGATATCCTGAAAATTCTTTAAAAAATATACCGCTAGTTTATGCATTAATCGTTTTTATGTCAATAAACTTTTGATAATTTCCTGATTCTGGGGAAGTAGCGTAAAGTTGATCTCGCAGGTTCTTTCACATTATCGCGGGTGAAAAATTTTTTTAAATTCGGAAAAATTATCCAAAAACTTCGGAAAAGTCTTTTTTGTATCTTTTAACTCTACATTTAGGAATAATAAAAACCACATTACGGTACCTTAGGCTATCATTAATGCATATAAGTGCCCTGAGGTGTCGATTTGACGCTTGAACAGTATTGATTTGCGCCCCCCAAGATGCAAATTCGGATGCAACTTGGCTTTTAGAAAATTTGGACGCCTCCGAGAAACGATTTACGCTTTAATTTTCCGGTTTTTAGGATTTTACGTTAATATGACGGATTTTTGATATATACGGAAATGCATGGGTTATTCAATCGGCAAAACTGAATGGAAATCAATTCACTCAATTGACTGCAACCATGTGATTCATATAAAAACCATTGAATTATAAACATCGTCGCTTTCCATGAAAACTTGAAAAGGACAAAACCCGCAGGCGTCGCGGGATTTATTTTAAGAAAGCCCAATTTTCACGCCTCCCCGGCGCAAATTATTTAGACAGCCAGACACGCAAATAGGCGATTTGTTTTGCTTTGTTTTTCTAGCCCGAGCTGCCGTGATCTATGGAGGGGCTCTGGAACGATTTTTTTCACTGAATAACAATTTTCGCTCGTCGTGAATCGATTCTTGCGGTCGTTTTCATGTTAGTAAACATCTTAAAGCTTTTGAAAGCTGGAAAACTAAGCCAAATTCGCTAATTTCAAAATGAAAAATGTGATTTTGGACTTCCCTATTTATTTGGAAGCCGAGACGCATTTTCGGAGTTGTCTTATTGGAAAAATTAGTAAGTTAATGCTTTTCCATTATTAAATAAAGCAGACAATCTCAAAATTAGTAAAAAAGGCGTCGAAATTCCGGATCCCAAATGGCTATTAGGACTTTAATTGAGTCCCCTCGTGTGCGAACCCATTAGCCGATCCCAATCTCGACCGGGCGCATTTCTTTCGCGGACTTGCCATTATGGAGGGATCCATTTGGCTGTCGGAACTGTTCGTTCTCTCTCTCCCTCTTGCCCCCTCTCTGTCTCTCTCTCTCTTTCTGCCTCTTTCTCTCTCTCGCTCTCTCTCTCTCGCTGTCTCGCTGTCCCAAAAAGTTCGTTCCCCAAGTGTGAGCTACCAACACAAAAACGAGGATTCTAGCTAGCAAGGTTATGCGGTGTTGGCTGTCGATAGGAATATTTCTGTACTCGGCTACTACCACTTTTGGATGGTTTTACGGAAGGGATGAACCGGATGCGTGGACGCAAGGAGGGGTCTTTCCGCTTCCAGCGTTGATTAAATATGGCCATGTAAGTAGTTTTTTACTACATTTTCATGCTTTACGATAGTCCTACACTATAGTTCTTTGTAATATTGGCTGGTAAAAAACCTTTTTTTTTGCATATTTTCACCTTTCAACTTTCCAGGACAACATCACGCTCTCCCCAAAGCGGTTCCTGATCCAAGCCGGGGATCACGAGGAATGTGATATCGTAGCGAAAAGTGTGGAGACTTACGGTACCTAACCATTGGATTTTTTAAAATAAGATCCCTATTTTAGTGAAGAAATGGATGTTCCCATTTCCGGTCGAGGCCAAGGAGGATTTCCCTGAGTTCGGACTCCAGGTCACCATCGAGGAAAAATGTCCGACTGGCGTGCCACCGGATAACATGATTGAGAGTTGTAAGTCAGATTTTAAGGAAAAGTTATAGGTAAGGTAGCAGAGACCATTTAGGAGCTTGTGCTCCATTAGTTGCCGGGAATGAGCCATTATTAAAACAGCTGCGCAGCAAGCTAGCACGGGCAGTGAAGAAAACTTTAGGGGAGCATGAGCTGGTCTAGCATCTAGTCCGAAGGATCATGCGCTCGCAAAAACAATTAAATGATTCAAAAAACAAAAAGCTAACCTTAAAACAGATGGCCAGTAAAGACTATTTGAGCACTATCAGCCTCTCACACGAATATTATATTCAGATTCCCTCTCCATCTCCAAGGAAGGATCGACACTTCGTGCTCAGCAAGTCTGGGGCTTCCTCCGAGGGCTGGAAACGTTCTCTCAACTTATTTTCTACGACGAGGAATCGAATTCGGTAAAGTAAACCAGATTTTCGCAATTGTTATCTATCTACAGTACCTCCTCCGCACCGTCGAAATTGCTGATAGCCCAAGATACACCGTCCGAGGCCTAATGCTCGATACTTCTAGACATTTCCTTCCCAAGAAAATTATTTTTCGACAATTGGTAAGTAAAAAATTGAGTTCTAAAATAGAAAATAAGGACCTGATGGCTCAAAACAAGATGAACGTCTTCCATTGGCACATCGTGGACAGCGAGGCTTTTCCCTATACCTCGGAGAAGTTCCCAAAACTGCATGTAGTTGTAAGTCGTCGCTTCCTCTCTCTCTCTCTCTCGCTCTCTTTCTCTCTCTACCTTTCGCGGAACTGCTAATACTTTCCAGGGAGCCTACTCGAGGCGTCATGTCTACACGAAGCAAGACATCAAAGACATCGTTGACTACGCCAGGATCCGTGGAATCCGAGTCATGCCCGAGTTTGATACTCCAGGTATCTAGATCATAACTTAGGACCAGATACCTTAAATTTCAGCCCACACTGGAGCGTGGCGAGGAGTAGAAGGCCTAGTCACCAGATGCTTTGATGAGAATCAGGTTGAGACGAATCTGCCGAACCTCCTCGACGCTTCTGAGGAGAAGACCTTTGAGTTTTTGAGCGAGTTCTTTAAGGTAAGCTACTAAAAACGAGATTACAAGATCAAGAAGTAGTTTTTAATTAAAATTTCATTTCCTAATCATGGTTTTAGGAGGTAGCTGCCGACTTCCCGGATGCCTATATTCACCTTGGTGGCGATGAATCGGATTTGTTCATTAGGGAATGTTGGTAAGTCGAGAAAGAGAGGGAGAATGAGAGGAGAGAAAGAGAGCGAGAGATAGAGAGGGGGCAGTGAGAGAGATAGCTAAAAAACGAGGTTCTAGGGATCGCAACGTCAAAATTCAACAATTCATGGAGCGTAACAATTTCTACACCACCACCCAGCTGGAGAATTATTACTTTGGAAGGTAAAATATCCTCCAAAGACGGATTCAAATCGAGTTATTATTCTCTAGACTTCAAGACATCGTTGCCAACGCTACAAACCACAAGACGCAAGTGTTCTGGCAAGAAGTGTACGATAACAACAATCCGGTACGGAATTACAGATTAGTATTTTTCAGCTAATTTGAGTTTATCGAGTTTAATGAGGGATTTTCAGTCAACCTCCGCCATAGTACACTTATGGAAAGGAAACACGCATCAAAACATCAAGGATTCGGCCCGGATAATTACCGCGACCGGGCAGAGGGTTATCGTATCGTCTTGCTGGTATCTAAATTACCACAAATATGGAGCCGATTGGAAGGACGCGATTGCGAATCAGATTGAATCGAACGCAAAGTGGGTCCAAAAACTAACAGCTACTTCTCTTGTGCCGAGTTCGACCGGTTAGCATATTTTTAAAGGAACTTAGAAGGCAAAAATCGACTAGCTCAATCGGTTACGCTAGGAAAAATCCGGACCCTTGAGTAAACAGAGCTAAGGAGGTTAAAACGTACTCTGAAAACGTGCTCTACTTGAAAAACGTATGCGGAATAGCCAGAAGAGATTTGAACCAATCGCGCCCATTTGATTCCTAAAATTTCCTAGCGTAATTGGTTCACTAAGTTAATTTAAACCCAATTATACCGAAAATCACGGGCTATATTTTCCGTTTAGATACTACTACTGTGATCCTCGTGACTTTGAAGGCTCCGATGAGCAAAAGTCACTCGTCTTGGGTGGTATTGTGACGATGTGGGGCGAAATGGTGGATGCTACAAATATTGAAGCGCGAACTTGGTAAGTCTTATCTAATTTAAAGGGGCGGTGACACCAGGCTTCAAGAATTCCCACGATTCTTCTGCGAAGAGGTGCAATTCGAAACCCAATTTTTCAGGCCCCGCGCCTCCGCTGCAGCCGAACGGCTCTGGTCCCCGGCCGAATCGACGAAAAACGCGACCCTTGCCTGGCCCCGGCTACACGAATTGAGATGTAGACAGTTGTCTCGCGGATACCGTACGCAGCCCATTAACTGGCCAGACTATTGCCCATTCGAGTGGGCTGGCAAAAATTGATGAGAATCAGGATTGACATTTGACATCCACAAATTCGCTGCACTTTGCTTGTACTTAGCCTGTGATTTCGGACGGCTGCTTTCGATGGAATACGGGATTGAATAAAACTTCAAGTATCTAGGGAAACGCGAGAGAGAGAGAGAGAGAGAGAGAGAGAGAGAGGTAGAGAGAGAGAAAGCGACAGAGAGAGACAGAGAGAGACAGAGAGAGAGAGCAAGAAAGTGCGAGAGAAAGCGAAGGAGTGAGAGAGAATGAGCGAGAGGGAGAGAGAGGGAGAGAGAGAGATAGGGAAAGAGAGTGAGTGAGCGTGAATGAGAACCGTTGAGAGAGTGAGAAAGACAAACAAGAGCGAAAGAGTATGAGAGAGAGAAAGGGTGAGAGACCGCGAGAGACCGAGAGAAGGAAGAAGAGAGAGGTGGTAGATCATGACAATTCCAAACTTCTTTAATTTTCACTGTTTCTAACCCGCAAATCTCTTTGATAACCCATCGATTTCCCCGAGCGTGGAGCGCCATTCATTTTTTTGCAGCCGGCGAGTAGCGGCGATTCCTCGTGCTCGAAGGACCTGTTTCCGCCATTGCCACAATTTACGGGATTCCGTCCCAGGGGTCGAGTCGAGAGTCGTGACCTCGCCCCCGCGACCATTTTTCGCTCTTATTTTTGGACGATTCCATTTCCTAAAATGTGCCCTGGTCGGCGAAGATCAGCCCCCTATCCTTCCAAGAACGCGTACAAATCGGTGGCGCCGGCGGAATTTCTCGATTTTGGCTGGCCGTCGCTAATTCGATGCGATGTGGGTTTTTGGGTGGCCGGGGTCAGAATTGGAAAAAATTTCACATTTTTAAAAGGTGGGGTCTGGTAAAATTCTGGCCTTCCGAACGAATGGAAATAAACTAAAATCGTATGCGGGAATGCGCTAAGCAGTTTGTCTTCAACCTATCCCTCCCTCTCTCTCTCTCTCTCTCTCTCTCTCGCTCTCTTTCTCTCTCTCTTGCTCTCGCTTTCTAGCTATCTATCGTCAATTTTCTGATTCCAGGGTCTTTTTAACCGTATTTAAGTTGAAAAAAATGCTAATTTTCGTCCTTATTTTTATTTGTACACTTTTTATACTTTTCCCGTCATCGTTTCTTGATCTTGTCGCTCATCTTTTCTCTCACTAACCGTTGGCAGGTCGGTTTTCAACTCCAGCTCCCAAGAACCCCCTATCCCGAGATGCCATTCGGTTCGGCCTGCTGAAAAAATAATCAGATGATAGCTAATTAGGCAATCGGGCAAATGATCATGGCAGGGATGGGCTAAAAACAGAGCGGATGTGGTGTGTTTTGTCATTTGGTGAACTTTGGGAAATTGGTTTCCGGAAGCCCATTTTGAAATTTTCGTTACCTGATCAGCTTCTTCATATTTATTCTTTGTGCAAACGGGGTACATTTTCTATTGATGCTTGTGGGCCGGAAGTGTCCAAAATGGCGGGAATTTCGGAAATTTTTTTAATAAGATTTTTCGGTTTAAGACGATGAATAGGACCAGAAAATTCAACTAAAAGGCTTTAGGATGGTATCGCATATTTTTCATGGCATTTAAGCAAACTCTATAAATAAGCAAGTAATAATAAAGTACCAAAAAATCGGAAAGTTTTAAGAAAGATGCCAGGGATCGTTACATTCGATCATAAACGTAAAATTCCACTTTCTCATCTTCAACTGATCTAATTTCATATTTTCACTATCACCCTAATCAACCGATTTTCGAGATATCCCCGGCGTGCGTTCCCTTTTTTTACAATGAATCCCCCCTCGCTCCTCCTTGCCGGGTGCGGTCTCGGCTCGCCAGCTCCCTTTTTGTACGGCTGGCGACTGACTCCCTGGGTAAATCCCTGAAAATGGCGTTTCCGCTGGGTTCCGCGATTCCTAGGCCACTCTTTTCTCTCTCTGTCTCTTTCTCTCTCTCTCTCTCTCTCTCTCTCTCTCTCTCGCTCTCGCTTCGGTTCTCGTGCTCAGATCTTCGTGGACATTGAGGGATCCCTCTTCCCCTTCCTCACCGCAATTTCCAACTGTTCTTGACTGTTGTCACACATGTCACGGGGTCTTCGGCTCATTTTTTGCCGATTTAGAGGCGGTCTACCTCCCAAAAATGACTCATGGCAATTTTCACCTCACCGCGTGGTGTTTCCTGTTCTTTTTATTTTTTAAAGTCATAAAAGGCGTAATTATTTTGATAAAACTTGGCAATTGATTAACCCCTCCAACACTCGCACTGAATGGCTAATTATTAGAATAATTTTTAGTATTTTAATGCAGCAACATAATAGGTATCCGTTGCCATCCAAATTCCAGATAATTTCGCCCAAGCGACCATTTTTTGTTACATTCCAATTTTTGTCGATGACCTTGAGCCGAGTGATAGCATTTCCTGGCCCTGATGGATTTTATTGCGTGCAGTCCGCTTCCCTTTCGCTTGCCGTTGATTTTTGCGTTCCAGGAAGTTGATCCAGGAATTCGAGAACAACATTTTTCGTTGCAATTTCCTGATTACCCAGTTTAATGGCACGCGCGTAAAATGGCTTCAAATCGTTTTTCCGTTCTATATGGCATGATTTTTTTGCCTGACGATTTTTGCGGCCCCTCTATCAAATATTTGTCCAATTTTTTTGGATGTTTCGAGCTTTTTGACAAGCCGACTGATCCGGTTGTAAAAAATCAGTCGTATTGTCGAGCAGAGTTCTTACTACAGATTTCCCGAATTCTATGGCGTGAGCCAAAACAGTCACTTTTATTCAGCGCCCTGGACTTTTTAAAAAAGATCGTCTTTGTTTTATTGTTAGAATGATACCTTAGCCTAGTTTTGCCTGGAATCAGTTTAAAAGCATTGTAACGACTCAAACCAGAAAATTTCTGAGCAACCTTCTGAGCATTTTCTGAGCACTCCGCTTCGATTTTCAGGACGTTTCTTTTTTTTCTTTTTTAAAGGCTTTTCTACTGCTTCAGAGCTTTCGGTTGTTCAGATTATTTGCTTTTGGTGGGATGCAACTTTTTGCAGATGGGTCTAACCAAGGAATGGAATGCCCTATGGGAGGTGGACGACCCGAATTTTTCGCAATTCGACTACACCGCCAAAAAATATTACATCTGCGGGATCCATGTTAAGGTAAATAATCGCGAAAAATAATTCAGTCATGTTATTCGAGTAAAATACCTTTTCAAACAATGCATTTTCAGCGCGCAGCCTTTTTCGTCCTTCTCCTCACCTTTCTAGAAATTATTTTGTACATTTCGGCCTTTGTCCTTGGATGGAATCCGGGCATCGTCAGGCCGTTTAAGGTATGTTCAGGGATTTTCGGGTCTGAGGTTTAATCTTAAAAATTACTAAAATTAAAAACTAGTAAAAAATTATAGTATGTCGTGCTACCACTCGTTTTTATTGCTGCTCTACTACTTTGGTGGGGTTTGAGGGACCATCACGCCTTCAGGTTGCTGCCCTACATTTTTGTTACGGTAAGTACAAAATTTGATACTTCTTTGTTTTTTTTCTGATTAATGCACAAATCGGATATTGTAAGCTAAAGGCTAGCTAGCAGCGATCCTTTGTAAAACTTACCCCGCGGCCTTTCTATCCCTTTTCAGCTCATCCAAATCGTCTTCCATCCGGTCCCACTTCTTGTACATTTGTATACAAAGTACGCGGACAAGGATGGTGATGGCATCTTCACTGATAAGAAGTAAGTTCCAGTCGACTACGGTATATTTGGCACCTTTTAGCGACGATGGTCGAGAGGATAACAACATCCTCCGCGGAATGAGCGACGTCGGCCAGACGTTGGCATGCATGCTCTTGATCCCGGTGGTCATCTACCTCTTCTTCATTTACGTCGTTCATCGGTAAGGAATCTTACTTGTAGCAATCGGACGACGAAGGACCTAAGACGACTAAATTTGTGATTTTGTGGTTACCTCGAGGGGCTAAAGCTTAGCAGTTAGGATTCCCCAGGTTTGACCCTTTTTAACGACTGGGGTAGACAACTACCGGCAGCACGAAAAGCCTTTTTCGCAGTCGGTGTGGTCTGGCTCGCAGAAGGCGTCGGTTTCGGTGCCTCCTAGTCCCTTTAAAGCGTTGACTTTAGTGTTTCTTGTCCCGAAATTGTCGAGATCTAAGTGAGAAAGGGTGTTCGATTTTGGCGCTCAATGTCCCCTTTAAAACGCTGTCAGCAAGCGTCTTTTGGCGTTGTGCGTAGCCGTCGGGCCCGAGCTCAGTAAAGACGCAGATCTTGGCACTTTCCCGTCACTTTCAAGCGTCGAATTTACGTGTTTCTATCGCGTGGCGTAGTTGTCGAGATCTTGCTGACAAAAGACGTCGTTTTGATGCTTGTCACCCTTTAAGTCCGGTCTATAAGCGTTTCTTGTCATGTCGCGTAACTGTAAAGATCAAACCGAAGCAGGAGTCGATTCTCTCGCTTCCAACTTTCCTTAAAGGCTCTCACTCTGGTATCTTCGGTATTGAGATAAAAGTTATTGTTGTGTAAATATTTATGTTGTTTTTAGATGCCGCAAATACTTCCTCGACATTGACGCAGCTCAGAACAAGAACCTCCCCAACGTTCGCTACCAGAAATAATCTTCCACCGGCAGTTGTGTCTCTTTTGTGCCCGTTTTTCGTGTAGCAACAATTCAATTACCCGGTGACCACCGTACCCCCAAATGCCCTCCTTTACTTCCTCCCAAAGCCCGCTTTTTGCTCAAATCCCGACAGCCACCGCCGCCGATGTTCTGCCCCGAAATTTCCGAAATTTCAGCCACTTTCCGCGTCTTTCCAACTCACGCCGCCCCAAAAAATTTAACCTCCACCGTTCCTCCCCTTTTCCCGTTTGCGACAAGAACGATTTTAACCGCTCACCACCCCTCCGGATCGATTAGCCTAGCCACCACCTGAGAAAATTTCAAGTCACGAGTATTTGCGCGGAACACATTCCAGTTTTTATAAAAAATGCAAAAATGTATTTTTCATGCCAGGAAGAGATTGGTTGTATGAATAAAGCATTAAACAAAGGTAAATGAAAGAAAATGACTTTGAAAAATGAAAATATTAAAAAGCTTTGCGTCGCACAATTTGACATTACGTTAGCACGCTACGATACGCCATTAAGCTACGATACGCCGTTACGCTATGATACGCTGGTACCCCAAGGTACGCTGATACGGTAGGTACGCTAGTACTTTACATTACGCTACTACCAGACGCCAGTACGGAATGTTACGTCAGTAGGCTCCGTTACGTCAGCTGCTACACTACACCAGTCGTACGCTACGATGCACCCCTACTGATACATGCTCCTCACCAGTTCGCAACGTTACTTCGCTCGTACGCGACATTACGTCAATACGCAGGTTGCTCACACTCGGCAATGATCAAAATAGGGTATGATGAAGTGAGTACGCTATTATCTGTACACCACCTCGCCACGGTCAAGGAGCGAAATATTTGAATGCTTATAACCAACTATGTTTAATTTTGATGGATTTCTAGGCCTTGTTTAATTTTGGGTTGGTTATCACCTCAATCAAAACTTGTAGCTCGTCTTCTCCCTGATCACCTAACTTTACATTATCCGTACTTGTCCTCCGCCAGCCTCCAATCAATTTCGAAAAGCGAATCACCCGCCCGCCAAATCGGGGATAGCCATTGTCATTCCGCGTTTTTCAATTTTGAAGCCGAATCCTGGGGATCGGGAACTCGAGGTTGTTTACTGGTAATGCCGTGGAAATGGCAGCTGACTGGTGAATTGGAGTGATTGTGGGATTTTTTAGGGAATAAAGTTACGTAAAATATTGGTACTACGTTACCTTTTTTTGGACAAATTGGGGGAAAGGCTAGGCGATAGGGAGAAGAGGCGCAAGCAGGCTAGCAGGGGTTTTTGGAGGAAACGCTGAGGAAGTAGATGGCAGGCTAGCCTAGATTCTTTGAGGAATTGGAGAAGGGGAAAGGGCGGGCTAGCTTGATGAGTGGGGAGAGGGAGAGAGAGAGAGAGAGAGAGAGAGAGAGAGAGAGAGAGAGAGAGAGTGAGAGCAAGCGAGAGAGATAGCCAAGAGTCAGTGAGATCCTTATATAAAAACCATCCATAATTTTTAAAATACTACGTCAATATTCAGTCTTTATTGATTTTGTTAATTAATATCAAACATCAGCACCGAGCCGGCGGCGATGACAGCGGCCGTCTCGTTTCCTTCACCCTTTTTCAGCGCTCGATTGGCCTTTGGCAGCTCGGATTTCGGGGCCAAGTGAAGGTTGCATACTTTTTGGGAACTGGAAAAACGTTATTTTAGACCTAAAAAATTTCCAAATAACCGTTGCTAGGTATCCCCAGGTCTCCCAAGGTTACCTCCAATTTTCCGCATCACCCCACAGCAGCATGTGGTCACACTTGGCGCCCGGTTGGTTGACAGTTTTAGTGCAGTCGGCGTCTTTTTCGCATTTTTGGGCCATCTAAAATGGGTTTTAAGGGGGGTTTAATGAGCCGACAAGGCATCGACGCTATGGATTTTGTTCAGGTTTGAACTCCTTTTAGCGTGGAAGAAAATTCCAGAAACCTGTGCCTTGGCAATGCCTTTAAAATAAGTGGGATCCCTCGACTTACGACGCAAATCAAATCCCCAAAGGCCTTCTTTAACCCGTCGCCAATCTTCTTCGCTGCCTTGGCCTTGGTATACTCATCATCCATCGTTTTGTGAACGCCAATGTACGCACATCGCGTGTTAAAGCCTAAAAAGTAAATTTTAAAAGGTATTCGTTCTACCGTTGGCGGCCAAATGCTCCGAGCTGCCGCAAGTCGGGTGTTCCTTCACGTCCGGAGCTTGGCCCTTGCATTTTAGGCTCTGAAACGACAGGTATCTGGATTTCTGATATTAAGTTTATGAATTCCTTAGGAGAACAAGTGCGCCTTGTAGCACGTCGCTGTGCACGTAAAGGTCGCATGAAAATAGGTCCCTAGATCTCGGCATCGACGCGACGCGTCAAAATACGCGCGCAACCGCTTTAGATTTCCAGTTATGGCGACAACTCCACAATGGTTTCGGGCGTTATTTGTAGCGCCAAGTATCTTTTTCAGTCCTACGAAATTGAGGTTTAATTTTTGGGCTTCCTAATGCCTTTAAAAAATTTTAATAAAAGGTTTCTTTGGCTGCGCGTTTCCTGAAATATCGAAGGTAAAACTTGTTGTAAAAATTCTTGCTCAGTCGTTGATTCCTCACCTCCTGATTCACCAGCTTCTCCCCGGGCTTCAGGTTCATGAAGTCGGGTTTTGCCAGACCAGCCGGGATCTTCATTTCGGTGGGCTGCTCAATTGTCTTGTTCTCGGTGGCGTAAACGGCATAGAAGCAGAAATACAGTAGTATGAAGGACCGCATTTCCGAACTGCCAGAATCCCAGCCTTGCGACTGCTGAGATCTTGTGAGTTCCGCGCTTCTGGTCGCCGCGACTTGACTTGCATAAGCATTTGGGGGTTCAAAGGAACCGCGCGGAATATGGAAATTCAGCGGAATTTGATCTTTTTGGGCTGGAAAATATCGATAAATCCAAGCGTGGAATTCTCGAAAACCAGTGCCAGATTAATAGGTCTATTTAAGAAGGCATTTAACGCCTAAACTACTTAATAACAATGAATGCTTTATCCCATCCATATCCCAAATCAATGATGCGGTTTAGGTTTGACCGGACGCTTAGGTATCGGTGCCGGGATGAAGCCGGGTGGTGGGAGGGTTTTGTTCAGCTGCAGCTGCAAGTTGCACACCTTCACCGTCCTGAAAATTGTTATTTAAGGTCGACAGAACGCGAAAAAATCATAGCAGAAATCATCGTTATTATGAAGACTCGAAATCGCGAAAAACCTGGCATTTCATGTGAGAAACACGTTTAGCTGGAATATTCTTATTAATGCGCCGATACCTTCAGATTTTAAACTCCACGACACACCTATAAACCTTATCAGCGCCCCATATCATCATATGGTCACAGTTGGCCCAGTCGAAATTCCAGCCCCACTCGTAGAAGCGGCAGTCGGCATCCTCTCGGCATTTAATTGCTCTCTAGAAAGTACGATACTAAATTTCTCTATTTATTTGCTCACGACACACGTCTTCGGGCGTCCCTGCATATCAGCTGGCCCGTTATATTTTCCATCTTCGATCTGTTCGTACAAGTAGCTGCTATATGGGACCATGTAGCCGCAGCGGGTGTAGACGCCTAAAAATTTAATAAAAAAAATTAGCTAAAATTAATAAATCTTTTCAGATATATGGCACTTTTCTCAATTAATTGCTACGCATTTAACGATGCCGAAAATGCGCTCTAATTACCGTAATCCGATTCAAAATTAGCCGGGCCGCAGTCCGGATCGTCGGTAGCCACACCGGCGGAGAGGCTTTGGCATTCGTATTCCTGAAAATCCCTAATTGGATGGCGGAAAGCAAAATCTTTTACTTCCCTTTCTCTCTCTCACTCTCTCTCGCTCCCTCTCTCACTCTATCACCCTCTGGCTCTCTCTCCTTCTCTTTCTCTCTCGCTCTCTCTCTTTCTCTTTCTCTTTCTCTCACTCGCCCTCTCTCGCCCTCTCGCTCATTCTAGGGCTCTTTTTATTTTTCAAGTTATCACATCTGAAAGCCTTACCACAAGGTCTTCCTTCCTCCACTCCCTCTCATCTTTTGGAAACGGATTCGGGAGCGGTATTCCAAGATTCTCCTTGCCGTGCACGACGCCGGGATGGCGACGCGAGTTTGAATATCCTAAATGAACTAGCTAGCGAACTAACTACCTAAATGAACTAGTTTCTTGGTTTCAGTTTTCAGCCTTCGTTTTAAAAACTTTATAATCGTGCTAATAAAGCTATAAAAACTATTTACAAAGAGAAACAGGGCAAAATAAACTTGCCGACAAGCGGTTCCGGTTGGCTGACATCACCATTTTGCGCTCCTGGATGGCTGCCAGTCTGCGGCTCCGGGTTGGAGGGGTCTAGAAAAATACAGGGTTTTGGAAATTGTCCTTACTCCTAGGTCTTTGTTCAGGTTAAAGGTACACTAAAATCTCGTTCAAAAAGTTCGGTGGTGGTAGGAAATTTGGGCACTCTGCCGCGCCCCCCCCCCGTTCTTATCGCCCTGGCCATCCCCTTCCCGCCTCCCTTGGCCTAGTGGTCCGGCGCCCCAGCTGGCGCGGTTCGTTTTGCCCGGGGCGCCCGTAACTCTGTTTGCTATTCCGCGTACGGTTACCGGCCGGTAACCAAACCAACGAGGCTTTAGTGTACCTTTAAAGATGGAAATACTCAATATCCTCTAGATTACCGTTGGGATGTGGATGCGGGTTGGGACGTGGGTTGGGATGCGGATTCGGATGCGGATTGGGCTTCGGGTGAGGCTTCGGATGTTGATTTGGGTTGGGATGCGGATTCGGTTGCGGCATCGGGTTGGGATTAGGATGCGGATTGGGGTGTGGGTTTGGGGGAGGGTCTAAAATGCAAGTTAAGATGGTATCTAAACGAGCTGCATTTTAGACTCAATAACCTACCATGTGGAGACGGATTCTCGTGACTATCACCACCTAAAATATGTTATAACAAGAAAGAAATTTTTAAATTAAGGAATTTTGTTGTGAAATCGTTTTTGAAACTGCGATATGCCTTTAATGGAAAGGTAATATGATTGAAATATGAGGTTTGGATAAAAACAGAAGATAAAAAACTCGTACCATTTGGCGACGGATTTTCCCCGCTATCGCCGTTTTGCGAAGGCGTATCCGTGTCATCTTAAAACTTAATAAAATTTTCATGAACATCAATTACCTTGTGGACCCGGTTGATCCATGCCACGATCCGGGTGACGACGGCAGTGCTCTAGCTTTAGAAGCAACACAAAAATTATGAGACAGGACAGGTGCCCCATGACTTCAAATGTGAAAATCTGGACGCCGAAAGACCTTTATCTAGCCTATGGTACAGGTCGATTGACTTACAAATTCGCATAGCAATATGCCGACAATATTAAGTTTTATTTTTAGTTGTTACAACGCTGTTCGGACGAATATTAAAGCTTCATAACGCTTTGACAATGTCCTGAATTTGAGCAAAAAGCCAAAAACTGGGTGTTTTTGGCTGGATACCTTGGGTTGAAAAAAATCGAAATTTTAATCCACGCAGAATTGATGAACAGGCGGATTCCCTTTTCTTTGAAAAATATGCCGAATGTTTAAGAAAAGCGAATATCGTTCGTATTCCAAACCTTGTAGGATTTGCACAATATCCAAATTTCAGGGTTGTTGACCAGAGTTATTCCGGAGAATATGACACGCAGATTCCACAAAGATTTTTGCTATCCAGGCGCACTTATCTCTAGCATTTTTCAGATATTCACTCGTTTCCAACCTTTTTTAGAATTTTTAATCTCTTCCAAAGGCTTTGAGAGGTGATTTTGGTAGTCACGCTACATAGGCAAAGCAGACTGACTTTAGCGTTTTATAGCCCGTTTGAACGTCTAGGATTTCTACTTTCCGGTTTGGTTTAGCACTTAATTTTGAGCTTCTCTAATAGAAGGGCCGATTACCCCACGATTACTGCGCCGAAAGTTATTATCTCCAAAAGCACTATCCCGGTCAGGGATCACCGCGGAATAATTTGCGTAATTTTTATAAAAAATCCTAAAGAAAAATGGAAATTAGGAAAAACAATGCTGTCATTTTATGAGGTAGGTATGCCTTCCAGTGTGGTAGCTTTTCAGGGTGATATCCGTGCATTTCCATGTTATAACCTTCGACGAAGTGACCAGACTCCTCCAAAACATTCCCCAGAATTCTCGCCGACCCCTAGCCGTCGTCCGCCACGTCGCCGTTGCGCTAGAAATTGACCCCCGACACTCCGGGAGCGTGTTGGCCGGCGAAACGGGCCCCGGGCCCACGGACTGTACGGGACACTCCAAAGCACGGACGGATAGACGGCGGATGGAGAGGGGGAAGAGAAGAAGCCACTACTGGGTCTTCTGATGCGCCACAATGGGGGTCCCATCGCCGCGGGGCCAAACAAATACCAGAGCGAGGGGGCCCCGGGGGCACGAAAGGATGGTGATGGCCCGGACGGTTTCCGGAGCCTGGCACCAGCTGACGGGGAGCTGAACAAATGAGGGGGAAACCTCGTGAATTAGAGGTGATGAAATTTGGCTTTTGAAATCAGATTTAGGGCACTTGGCCTGGGAATCGTGCGCTACAGTATGACGTGTAGTCATTACATCATTTTAATGATTTAAAATAGCTGTTTCAAGAAATTTAACGTCACGATCGGCATCCCGAATTGCTTTGTCTATACCAGCGCATTCAAAGTAGCTTCCGTTAGTACAGGGTGTCCCAAACCCCCCTAGCCGGCCGCAGACCCCCCGATTTTACGATCTAGGTTCCATCGAGCTCTCGGAAAGGCGTGTGGGACCCTGGTCGATTTTCGAAATGTCGAAATTTTTTTATCATTTCTTGTTTTTGCGAAAGCGCGGTTTTCTGTGTTTTTCTGAGAAGGCGTTTTTACAAAATCGCAATTTAAGTTTTTTATGCCTTTCCTGGCGCCCACGACCTCTTTGAAGCCGTTTGCGAAAATGAAAATAATGTAAATTTCGACTTTCGAAATCGGCCAGGCGTCCGACTCGCCTTTCCGAGGCTGATAGATCCTATCGTAAATCGGGGGCCCCGGGGGGTTTTTGGGACCCCGATTTTTGAGGACCTTACGCGGCTATTCTAATCGCATTTTTGGGACCCTGCATTGCATATTTGATTGTATTTTTATTTTTTGCAAGTCTGGTGGCTTCCATTATCATTTTCTGATTTTTTTGGTACCGTAACCCTGTACGTCGTCGTAGATGTCGTTTTCAACCTGTTCTTATTTTTGCGCCTAACAGCTATCATCCTGCGTATCTGGTCCCTAAATCGTTTCGTTAAAAACCGTACAGTGGACATCTTGGGTACCGCATTTCCGGCGGTCCCCGGTTTCTTACTCTAAAGGTCGCCACGGCCCCACCCGCCTGATCGCCTGAGGCTACTGAAGTCTGTTCTCTCTCTCTCTCTCTCTCTCTCTCTCTCTCTCTCTCGCCATCCACTAAATGTCGAGGCTCGCGAGCGAGTGAGCGCGGGCGGGCGGGCCAGCGCAAACGTAAACTTTGCGGCGCGCGCGCCGGAAAGGCGCTTCTCTGGAAGGCGGAGAGACAGGCTGTCGGTTGATGGTAGAGTGGTGGCATTTCGTCTCAGGACCCCCTAGAGGAGACCGTTCACAGGAGTCGCGCGTACCTGGAGGGGTCAGGCCTCTGCCCAAACACTAGCCCCCACACCACCACACCATCTCTGGCCCTCCACAAACAGTCGCCGCCACGCGCCACTGGACAGCCAATACCCGCGCGCCCGCGCGCACTCAGCAAGAAGGCTAGGGTTTTGCTGCCTGGGAGTTTAGAGTTTAAGGAAGGTCTAAAGGAAATTGGAAGGCAGAAAAATCGCGGATTTCAAAGTCTTAGGCCTGCCAAAACAAGGTTGATCGCAAGCTGCGCAGACCCCTAAAAAAATCTTTTTAACAGGGGCTAGAAAGTGCCTAAATCGACACATCTCCTCGACTGGGTATCGACAAAACCGCTACTAGCTAAACATGTGAATCAGTAGTTTTTAATTTTCTGGAAGGTCCTGTTCCGGATGGGTTTAGAACGAGTGTATGAGCGCTTTGAACAGCTTCGGACTGTCGCGACCTAGTCGAGGGTAGGGTCGATTCTAGCGCTTCTGAGCCCGCTTCTGAGCCCCTTTAAAGGGAGTGTGACAGCAAGGCTGCGATAAAATTTTGTTGTTCATAACAATTAAGGATGGAAACGAGGACCTTCACCGGTTTTAGCGCGGCCCGTAGGTGTCGAGATCTGGTGAGCTCAAGGGTCGATTTTGGGTCTTTAGAGATCCTTTGAATGTAGATGAACATTAACGAGTGCCAGTGAGGCAGTCGGTCACATTTGAATCATTGCTGATCTATCAGAATCATTGAATAAATCATAGTTCCTTATCAGGACCACGGGTTATTGTATCAAGCCAAAACCCAAGAAATGTCAAGCTCCTTTAAGACCGGAAAAAACTTAAGAAGGAAGTCCTTCTCCCAATTTTTCCGTATTTCTCTTTGCAGGAGACTACTATAACTTTGGTTACCGTAACTTACCATGAACTTAATTTTATCGCACCCCTCACACTTCTCTACATACCACCAAACACCCAGGACTATATTTAACCCAAAGATCTCCCGGCACCGGAATCGACCCCTTTCAAAACGTCGATCGGTTCGCAAACCATATAGGCGGACAATGCCCTCAAAAAGGCCACTGTTTGGCTACGGTACCAAATATTCGATTCTCGCGCTATTGGCCCTCTTTATCCACCAGCCCCCCAAAAAACATGACAAAGCCATCGCCCGATTCTCTGTGGCTCTCGTGACTCACTGGGCACTCAGTTGAGGGTAGGAGGTCGGTGCGGGACCCCCGATTTGGAGGGGTCGCGTAGCCCCAGGGCACGACTGTCCGGAAGAGAGAGAGAGAGAGAGAGAGAGAGAGAAGAGAGAGAGAGATCAAGAGAGTGCTATGAAACGCTGGCGCCTGTGTTGTTTTTCCGCCGGCCGGTGATGGCCACCGCCTGGCGCGCCGGCCACGCGCAAAAACCGACGACTCCGGCGAGTTCGAGGCTTCAAGGGAGCGTTTTGCAGTTTGGGCTTCGGGCTGCCCAAAAATTCTAGAATTTTCCACCGTAATCTCTGGATCTCAGACTCACACGATCTAGCTTTTACGCAAATTCCGTAAAAACTCCTTTTTAGCTATCTATCTATTGTAATTCTTACCGTAACGAAAAAAAAATCCATATTTTTGTTTACCCCCTAGCCTTCTCAATCCCTTTAACCCGCAGGAAATCCCTTTTGTGGGCGCGGATAACAAAAGCCTGTGAGCCAGGTGAGAGAGAGAGAGAGAGAGAGAGAAAGCCAGAGAAAGTGGTGCCAACTGGTTCGAGCTCCCCTTTCAAGCCTTCGGGTCACTCCGCTGGCTTTCACCAGGCCCACATTTTCGCTTTCGGGACCGGTCGTCGAACTGGTCAGGGCGGGAAGAGAGCATGAAATTTTTGAGAACACAGAGATTCGAACTGGTATGCCGCTGCTTTTCCGCTTCCTTTAGGGGATCTGTGGTGGCTTTCCGCTTCTGCCAATTCGGATGGAAGGGAAAGGCGTGACCCCGATCCGTCCCGATCATTTGAGGCGATCACGGAAGAGGAGCAGGAGGAGCGGTGCCTTTTTTGGCGCTTGGCCCACTTTAGAGGCCGAGGGGAGGCTGTGGAAAAGCCGAGAAAAACAGCGGCAAAACGGCTGGGGTACTGTAGTTGGGTCGTGAAACAGCTCTCGTGGTTTTCGAATAAAACCGGTAAAACCC